CACTGTGGTCCTTTTCAACCTCATACATTCTGTGATTCCTTGAGTTCCATTTGAATTATTTGAAACAATCATGATTTCTTCTGCTCTCTTCAAAGAGCAGAGCGTGTTTGCTCCTTCCTTGGTTAGGTTTGCCACAGAAAAAAGTTTTGGGGTGCAGACTGCTGCAGCTGTTACTGCGTGGTTCCGCCTAACGCGGAAACTGTGAGGAAGTTACTTAATTTTCATGGAATACCCTTTGCGTGCATAACCAGGACGGGGGTGGTAAATGGAGGTTGCACCGGGAAGGGGCGGGTTTTCCGTGCGGTGGGATGGCAGGGCCCGCCCCTCAGGGCGGCCGCGCAGGCGCCGCGGGCCGTGCGGGACATGGCGGGGCCCGCGTACCCCGCCTGGGTCACCCGCTGGGTGAGCGGCCAGTGGCGCCAGAGGAAGCGGCCCCCGGCCATCCGCCCGCCCCGCCCGCTGGCGCTCGCCGACAAGGTGGCGAACCGCAGGGAGCAGGGGGGAGGTGAGTTCCCGTGGAGTGGTGGCGGGGAAGGCGGGCCCGGCCCCCGCGGGGAGGGTCGTGCTGCTGACACCCGGTGTTCTGCGGGGCTGCAAGGGGGAGAGGCTGGTTTGGGCCATGGAATTAGTTCACAGGCTCAGTGGAAAGGATGGTTTCCTCACACTGCAACCCAAAGTCTGCTTCTTGTGCTGTTCCGTATGTGAGCCACGCACATAAAACACTTTGTTGCAGCATAGCCCGTACCTTAAGAATTCAGTCAGATGTTGGATGGTTGCGGCGGGGCTAATCTTCGTGCTGGCGTCAACTCTGCCCAAAGCAAAGCTGAGATCTTTAGTGCTGCATTTTTTCACCTGCCTCGACTCCATCTTAAACTTCTCTGGAGATTTATGCACTGTGGAAGTTGTTAGAATAAAACCTTAAAGACCTGAGTCTTCTGGTTGTGTCCTTCCCTTCTAGAGGCGACCTGCATTACGGAGATGTCAGTAATGATGGCCTGCTGGAAACAGAATGACTTCAACGACGCCGCTTGTGCCGAGGAGATCCGGGTGTTCTATGACTGTGTGGCAAAAGCAGAAGTAATTAAAGTCTCTTTTGTGTTCCTAAAGGCTAGTAGTAGGGAAAGTGGAAGCCCCCAGTCATTTTTTGTGTGCCAGCAGTAATAATGTTCTCTGAACAATTTGTTTGGTGGTGTAACTCATTTGAGCAATGAAGCTGGTGAAGGGTCTGGAGCACAGGTCCTGTGAGGAGAGACTGAGGGAGCTGAGGTTGCATGCAACATGTGGATTATATTGTAAATGGAGAGATGTGCAGTATAGGCAAGTTTCTGCAACTGCTGATTCATGCAGTCAGGAAATAGCTGATCCAATACCTGCGTTATCTAGACAGTGGGGGAGAGTGGTGAGTTAAGATTTCCAAATTCCAGTGTCATAAGTCTATAAATAGTTTTGTGATTGCAGGAGTGAGGATGGAGACAAGTTGGTAGAGAAATAACCAATGTTTTCAGTAATCCTCATAACAAACAGTTTTCAGGATATGTGAGGTCATTATGGCAATTCTCAATTCTCTGAAAATTAGGAGCTCTTTTAGGCTGTTTCTGACTTTGAAGGCTAGACATCTTGAAAAATAAATTTCATATTGTTTGGAAATTAGATGTTTCTAATTATATAATATTACATATTAATATAATAATAGTATATGATAAGCTAAGGGTTTGGGGTTTTTTTTGTCTTTCAGAAACAGCGCAGGAATCAAAACGAGGACGCTCTGTCATCCAGGGGAAACTTACCTTCAAGCAAAGTGAACAAGCTCCTGAGGAGGTTTCCTCAGATCAGACATTATACATAATGTGCTTTACTAAGGGGACAGTGGACGAGCAATTAAAGTTGGAGTCTTTGGCAAAAAAGAGAAAAGTGAACTTGAGTGAGTGTTTGATGTCAAGTGGTATCTGTCAGCACTACTCTGTCGATCTTGACCCATCTTTTGATTCCAGAGTATCAGCTGATTTTGTTCATGAGATTCCTGGGTCTTGCAGTGTTAGGATTTCTGCAGTATGTTGTTCAGCTAGCCAGAACTAGCCTACTCGGGTCCTCACTGTTAAATAAAACCTTTTAGAAATGCATTTAAATGCATTTCCTAACAGTTTAGGGGTGACTTTTCCTAACATATAAGCTTTCTACCTAGCTTTGGAGCTGCTGTCGAGAAGTGCTCAGGTTCAAACACTAAGCCAGCTGAAAATTGGTAGTAATCTCATGGCTTGTACTTCTGCAGGAGTGGATACACAATTTGGTTCCTAATTCCTGCTGCTGTACAAAAAATGTGCAAAAAAAATGTGCAAAAAATCCCCAGCAAAGTACCTTGTTAATACAAAATTCATTGGTAAGTATCAGATATAACTTTAACGTAGAAGCTTATGATTTAGGCACTCTGATTTGCAGGTGGCACAGGTGTGGTGCCACATCAGTTTAATTATTTTGTCTGGACTATAATAAAATAATGCAAGACTGGTGTTTGACTTGGGCAGCTCATAATCTACAACAAAATGTTTCACTGTTTTTTGGTAAAAAAAACTAAAAGAGGGAGAGAAAGTTCAAGCATGAACTGGTAACTGAAATCATGTAATGAATTATTAGTTTCTGTGTGGGGTTTTTTTTCCACTACAGTACCACAAAACTTCAGGACCAGTACCTAATTGCTGAGAAAAATGCGGTGTCTTGGAAAACTACTGTTATAACCATTTATATCAGTAATTCTTTCAGGCATGTAGAAAAAGCAGAGGAAGAAGGGAGTCAGGCACACACAGACTGAGATTACCCACAGGTGACTGGAGAGTTGCTGGAGTTGGAGCCGACTTCTCTGGAGCCCCAGGCTGATGATACCTGTTTTATCCCATAAATTTTGGTCAGGTGAATGTTTCAAGTTATTGAAGAAATTTCCATTTAACTATAACTTACAGTGCCTCATGATTGGAGGGTACATAAACAGGGAAGCTTGTTCTGTTGTTGCTAGTATGGCATAATTGGGTCTTTCAGAGAACTTGGGGTCAGTAAGAACATAATGTCCACATCTAAGTTTGGAAAACACTTTGATTCTATGACATTCTGCATTTTCAGTCCAAAAGACACTGAAAGGAAATGCTACTTCCTGGTACTTTGTTTCTGCTGTCTGCGATGAACTGTCTTATATAAGAGGCTGTAACAGAGAAGCCAATACCTTTTTATAGTTTTACTTCTGAAATTTTGCACAGCTCCCACTAATCTGAACAGCTATTTTTGGATCATACTGCTTCACAGTGAGCTTCACAAATTCAGTGAAGGGTTTGGGTTTCTGTCTGACCTTTTACATGTCTATCGTAATCTTGAAATTACTATGCTAAGGTTTTCCAGTCCTCATTTATTTAGAGGAAGAAAGAAGGAAACAGAATGCTTTTCAGGTGCACCCAGGTTTTACAGTGCTTCCTTTAAAAGTACTGTAGCAATTCTTTTGCCTCAGGATCCCTTGCTGTAACCAAAACCCCTCCAGTTACTGATTGTCCTTGGCAATTTCAGCTGCTGCCATGGTTTTGTATCTCACTGTTAAACTTATAGTCGGTGTTTAAGTGCATTCTGTGACATGCTCATATTGGAGATCACTAATAGTTCATGTGTGTAACTGTAGGGAATGACACTGTTCTTTCTGAGCTCCATGATGCTGTTGCTGGGGAATAAAACTGGGTTCTGGTGCTGAGCCCACTGGTTAAGAACATTGCTGCAGAGACCTGTATGTGATTGCGTGGTGGGGAAAGAATTAAACAAAAGCTGACTAGCTGTTCTACCCTCCTAAGTCGGATTTACAGGATTTAAGCAAATCTGCTGGAATTCCTTGATCTTATTCCTGTTCCTTACATCTTGAGTATTATACCAGCCTTGGTACGATTGCTGTTAACTACCTCTCTTTTTAGGCTTTCACTGAAGATCTCTGTGGAGGAAGCATTAGTATTTCAGCTGGTCTTGATGAATGGTAGTCCTGCCAGTTCAGGAGAAATGGGTTGAATTCCAGAGAGCCAAGAACATTTTAGAAGATGGTACTTCTTGTTCCAAAATTCAATACAGAATAATCTGGAAAAATCAAAACAGAAAGACTCTGTAGGGAATCACAGGCTTATTTTAATAGAACTGTGCTTGTATCAGGGTGAGAAGGTGATTAGTGTTAAATAGTGGACTTAGATATTTACAACTACTTCAAATTTGCCCATACAAGGAAGTTGAGTATCTATTTTACCTTATCTGTAGATACATTACCGATCTAAACTGACGTAGTTATATTGGTATAATTTCCTTCTTTTTCTTCCTCTGCCTTGGAGAGGGCCATGTAGCCATGAGAAGCTTTTGAGAATCCTGAGATCCACCTCTCTCAGGAAAATGTCATTATATGTGCCAGAAAACCAGGGGAGTCTTGGCAAGAAGGAAGTAGTTCCAAAAGAAGACCCCCCACAGAGGAGACAACTGCAAACCCCACTATATCTGTCCACAGTTCATCATTCTTCCAAAAACTGAATACAGACTTAGACTTCTGTTGCTTTCAGTGCACTGGCCTGTGTTTCCTTTAAAATTACTTTATCTAGGAAATTATCTAGGAAAACCTTGCTTTGAGAGGGAAGCAAATTACAAGCTACTGTGAGAGAAATCCAATGCAGGCTTTTGCTAGAGATTTTGAGCCTATGTGTCAGGGCTAAACAGTGAGTGTCTTATGGGAGGGAGTTCTGAAGGAACTGAAGTTCTGAAGCATCAATAACTTCTACTGCTGATTAAGGAGCAAATTGCTCTGAATGCTAGTAGATTTTCTGTTTGTGTCTCCAGTATATCCTTTCCTTGTGTTTTCACTGGAGCAAGTGGTTTTAAATTTCAACACAGTCCTGTATTTTTATTTGTTCCCTTTTTACCAGTGCTGCCTGAGAGTTACAGCGTGATGTTGCATCTAAGCTATTTCCATCCTCTGTTGCCCTGATCGTCTGCCTCCCTCACTCCGAGGATATAGGAGATTTGCTCCTAATTAACTGAGTGCAATTCTTGGCCAAATGCACTCCAGAAAGAGCTCCTTCATACCACTCAGCAACTCCTATAAAAGATCCAGCAGGTAGTGAAATTTCCTTGCCTTTGATGACTGACTGAGGATGAGGCAACACAAAACTGTCAAGTGAAGTGAGTAATGGGCAATAAGTGAAGGAGGAAAAAAGGCTTTTTGTCAAGCCAATGGATTTTTAGCAGCCTATTCCTTGTTTTTATGCCGAAGTCTTTGGAAGTGCTACTTAGCAGACTTGGCCAGAAGTGAGCTCAGTTCTTAAGGTGACCTTCATGTTTCATGCTAGAGAATACTAGGAGTTAATCCTTCCAAAATCAGAATATAAGTATAGGAAATGCCCATTAGACTGAGCTGAGAAGAAGCACAGGGAACGTTTAAAAAAAATCTGAGATTGAACAGCTTCAAATGGGCCAATTCCCTTCTTAGATTTAATAGTGTTAAAAACTTGTAGCCTCGAACCCTAATTCAGATGAAAGAGCAGTAAGCTGAAAACACTACCCCCCCCCACCATGGGATTGTTCATGGTAATACAATAATGATCAACCCTCTGGAAAGCATCCTAGCCAATTGAGGGAAAATAAAGCCCAAGGTCAAGGAGAAGCTTGATGGAAAAGATCTCTGGAGGCAATACCCATGGGGGGAAGATGGAGGCTGAAAATTGGGAATGCACCTTGGAGAAGGCTGTGCCACCTGTGGGTTTTCCATGGGGAGATCTGGAAGCTGCTTAACATAAAGTTTTCTGGGTCCCATTTACCTGGGTTCAAGTATGAGGAGAGCTGACCTCGGGAAGCTGCAAGCAGGTAATCGAAGAGGCAGCGGTGGGGGGATAAAGTCCAGATTCCTTCCAAGAAGTCTAATCTCTGGCAAGTGTGCGCGCACACGCCGTTTCCTTCCCCAGTTGTTGCCGGGGGCTTTGCAGTAGGACACGGCCCCAGCTCCTCGCCGTGCTGCAGCCTCTGTGCCGCGGGGAGAGGAGGAAGAGGCAGCTGCGGGAAGGAGGCATTGCAGGAGAGGAGCGGGCGGCGGCCCGGGCGCTGGGGAGGCGGAGGCTGGCGCTGGGAGAAGCGCGTACCTGGAGCACGGGGGAGGCTGGGCAGAGGAGGGGACAGCGGGGAGCGGAGCGGGCTGAGGGTGCGCCCCACCGCCTGCGCTCCCTCCTGCCGCTTTCAGATGCGCTAGGTAAATTCTGGGGAGTGCTGCCCTCCCTTATTTCTCTCCCATCTTTTTCCCCTTCCTGAAGAGAAGACTCAAGGAGAAGAGATGGGGAAAGGAAAGGGAAAGTGAAATTCTAAGATGCTGCTGGGAACTTTGATCCCTTCCCTTATATCGCTTTCCCTGCTTAGAAATGGAAAAGGCATCCTGCTGCCCCCGGTGCGGAGTGGCTAGCGTGGGAAAGCAGAGCCCGGCAGCTGAACGAGAATGTGATGCTTGAGGAACCTTCTGCCCACTTTTTATAGGAGGGATGGAGATCTCCAAAATACTCGGGCTCCTGGTGGAGCTCTCGAGTCTGCTATCCTGTCTCAGATGTGTGGAGGTAAGAAGTGGTTATTTTTCTATCTGCTTGTAAGAAGTCACATGTCTCTTTTAATATCCTCACTGTAAGTGGATATTGTTATTACTGGAATATGTTTTCTGGAGCATCTAGGCAGCTGTGGTCTCTGGGAAGGGCTGGGGGTTTGGGGATAGATTTGTTTCACTGAGCATATGAAATTCAGAAAAAGAAACAAAGCAGGAAAGCAGGATGCACAAGGGCTTGCAGATGCTTTGGCTTGGGTTTCCTATGTTTCTCAGGCTCTGCAGTGACCCTGGCAGGAGAGATCCTTTGTTTCCGTTCTTTGCTGATTGCCCCTCTTGCTGTTGTGGACAGATGATTTATAGCCACACGACCTGGGGCAATGCCTGCAGCACAGACTGTTTGCACTTAATTTTGTTGGTAGTGATGGTCAGAGTTGGGATGTTTTGGAAGCTGCTACAGGAACTGGCAGCAACTAATATTTCACTAGAAGAGAAATGTATTACTTGGACTGCAGTGCTTTTGTTTATGGTCCGGCTCCAAAAAGAGTGGGTTCAGACTCTCATATATACCCTGTTATTAGTCTGACCCATCCCTCTATCACCTGCAGGTTTACTTGTGTGTGCAGGTGTACATTGAAAACTAGGAGCTGAGGGACCTGCTTTGTGGCTCAGTCACCCGTTTGGTGCAATCACAAAAGTGCAGCTTAGCTCACTTTCCTCTCTCTGCAAAGAACTTTGAGATCCTCAGAGAAATCCGTCAGTATTGTTGGTTCACACACCATTATGTGGCCTTGCAGCAGTCTGATACATGCAGGTAGATGGATTTTTGGCTGAAAAGCATTTTTCAGTTAAGTGCTGATTTATCTGTGCATCCCCTTGTGCATAAGCACCTGAGACCTGATCTGCTGTTTCTAACCATGTCAGGAATTCATCCTCCAAATGCAGTATCACATTCTGACTGCTGGAGGGTGATGCTGGAGCTTGGCCATGGTTGTCAACATCTGCTGGACAATATTCATAAACTTGATTTGAAAATGTCATCTAACATGAGTAGGTGTTGTTCGTGTCAGGTTTCTGTGGGAATTACCTCTGCTTATTCCAGAAGTGGATTTGGTTTCATTCCAAATTTGAGAGAGGCAAAATTACTGCATTTTGAAGAAAACCACAATTGTTACCAATAGCTAGTATTCTTTAGCTGCACACTTCTGCTCTGTGAATTACAAGTCTTTGTTCATATAAAAATATTAGAAATGTTCATTAAAAATACTTAGAAACTAATTAAACTACAAGGAGCTAGCAGAAACACGTACAGTTTCTTCTTTCACTCTGGGTCTGTGAAGATCTTGCATTTGCTTGCACACCTTGTAGTGGTGTTGAGTTGAGATCCCTATCTCTCAGCCAAAAGTGAAGTTATAACCACAAAAAAACACTGCCAATAAGAGGAAATGTAGTTTTGAGTCCAGACAGGATGCTAGAATTTTGAGGACTTTGTTTCATATTTTTTGCTTTTAGGTATTTAACCCTATTTGGATAATACCATAAGCCATATCATATTTTCAAGTATTAAAAACAAAATCCTCAAAAAGCCTTGTTGGATTTTCTTCTTTAGATGTTTCCAGCTTCGTACATAGATGTTTATTACCATTTTAACAGGTATCCTGGGGGCATCATCCTATCATGTAGATATATCTCTGCTACTGTGGCCATAGATGACTTATCCTGTAAATGGAGAGAGAATGAGTGGTTATTCATTATTTTTCTTACTGATAATAATGATTTTCTTCTAGCTTTCCTTTCCATAGGCATCTCAGACTTCCAAGTCTACTGGAAAAAAAACAAGCAGAGCCCTGTAAGGTAGTGCTAGAGTAAATCTCTGCAGACCAGTAATTATTCATTTTGCTGTTAGTGGACAGAGCTATGATTAGAATAGAAGAGGAGCAATGGAGAAAGCAAGGAAGAGACCGGTTACTAGGGTGTGTTTGCCTAAAGCTGCAAAAAGCTGAGCTGCTTTTAGGACATGCTCATGTTTATTTCATCGGATAATCATCTCTCTGCTTTTGCTCTGCTTCTTTTCCCAGGCTCTCCTGGGATCCCAGCCCAACCAAAACCATTTGCAGAGTGCAGGTAAGAACAAGAAGTTATTAATTCAGTCATTGGGCAGATTCTTTCCTGCAGTGGTGATCTGAGACCATAGGCATGATAAACCACTGCTACTTGGCCTTATTCCTTTTTTCCATCACTTCTTCAGTCTTTTCTGTTGCCTCAATGTCTGTTTATCTCTTTCAGCAACATGGCCAGACCACTTTTGTGTCTTCGTGTCTAATGCTCTTGCAGTTCCCTGCTCCTCCCACATATTCTTTTCTTTTCATCTGTTTCTCTGAAGGCCTTGGTCTTTTTTGCATATTCACCTTTCCTCTGCTCTAATAACTACTGAATTTTCATACACCCCCCTCTGAGGGTCCCTGCTGATGCCAAGCATACGGTATGTTTTCCAGACACCTACCTGCTACTGCTTCTCGTTTCGTACCTTGCATTTAACCTTCAGTTGTCGCTTCCCACCTCTTCTTATTGTGCTTGGCAGTGGCTAGGAGGCAAATGACATGATGCAAAGCTTCTTTCTACCCTTACTCTTTGCCCCATGTGTCCTTACTGCAGAAGGGTTTTCTGAAAGTGTTATCTTCTTTTTGTTTATTCAGTGAATAGAGCTGTAACTGTTGTCCCTTTCTCAGTCTACTCTTCCCTTGTTATGGACTGTAAAAAGTCCACCCTCACGCAGAACCTGGGTCTGTTTTCCCTCTTTTAATTTCAGGGTAATGAATGGAGAGATTTCTTCTTTTGTTAAAGAGCATATTAAATTAATTATTTGCTGTTTTTACATTAGATATTTCACATGGCCACTGGAACATTGGCACCTACACTTTCCCCCCAGAATAAGTTCTCTTTCCCTTCCTATACATTGGCCAAGTTCAGATAAGCCAGTTTGTGATACTGATGTGTGTAGGGAACATATATAAAATGAAATACAATGGCAATTCCCACCACCCTGCTTTATAGAATGAAATTATAGCTAATTTTAAACTCTTCTCATTTTCACTCAATTTGGACAGGCAATTAATGTTCTAGAGAGCCTAGGATCAAATTTGAGAGTATCTTATTCAGGTAAGTGGGGAAGGAATTGGTGGAGTGTACCACGCTTAAGTGGTGCTCCGAAATGAGTACATGTATTGGATGTACAGTAATGGGAACCAGTTCAAATTGTCCATGTTTGGGCCCAGATTTAACACTTTTCAAAGGTCTGTCTGAGTAGTTCTTTACTTCAGATCAAATTGTGGTTTAGACAGTGAGTATTATAAACATTCTTTGAGCAGTTGCCTTGAAGAGTGATAGAACTGAAATCAAGCAATGAATGGAGACTGCAGACACAGGAGGTGTTTCAGATAACCAGCTGGTACCCCCCCCACTGAACTTCAGTGTGTGGTGCCTTAGGTGATGCTAACAGCTCCCTTCCTGTGTGCAGCATCCAGCGGGTGTGCTGTCGGACCCCTGGGCTATTACAATGGCTCGCTGGCGGTCACTGAGGCCGGGGCAGAGTGCCTCAACTGGGCAGAGTTCCCCGATTATGTCCAGCAGTACCCAGACCGTGGCCTGGGGGACCACAACCACTGCAGGAACCCAGATGGGGGAACGACACCCTGGTGCTTCTACCGGCTCTCGTCAGGGGCCATCGGCTGGTCCAACTGTGACTGTAACCAAGGTAAGGGCTGTGAGTCTCTGCCAGTGGCCAGGCAGCACTGCTCAGGGGCTCAGGCCAGAAATGTGTGCTGCACAGACTTGCAAGTGGCAGGTGGAACACCCTGTGAAAGAAGCACAGTACAGTAACTGTTCCGAATTGTTGAAATAATTAGTACTAGAGGCCAGCCCGTGTGGGAGAAGAACGTCTGTATATAGTAGGGGGTGGATTTAAGCTGCTGTAGCTGTAATGCCTTGTATAGATGTTTTATTCTCATACAAGGAGACTTTTTTTTTTTCCTGCTAACTTATGCTGCTTTGAAAACAGTTTAAGTTATGTGGAAAACAACCCACTCCTGCTCCTTAAGTATCCGTATCAGAGCATTCCTCATGTAAGTGTAGCAGTTCAAATATAACAAGAAAAAATCTGTGGGTAGGTTTGTAAATCTTCTATAGCAAGATAGGTCATAGGCTTGTGTTAAACTTCCTCAGTGCTGACACAAGGACTGCTGCTTACTTTGAGGCAAGCAAGAGAGCTGAGCTCTTTTAATGCACTGGCTGCCATGCAGCATTCTTGAAAATGTCCTCACGTTTTCTGACCTTCCTTGCCTTTCCTACATTTTGCAGAACAGTTGAAGCCCCAGTTTAATAAATGAATTGACAGAGTCTTTTCCCTTGCCAGTGGATGTGCTTTTAAAGATGGCTTTGTTAAAGGGAAGGATTCAAGTGTAGTGGTGCTGTGTGCCTGCACTGAGGTACTACAGACAGAAGGTGTGTCCTTCTCCAAGTACATAACTGAGCTAGGAGATGTGCTGTCTAAACAGTGGCAGATATTTGTGATGAAGGCATTTACACTGGCACTTGCTTTTCTTAGAGAAATTAAAGAGGATTCAGGTGCTGTTACTGAACATCTTGCTCTAGCAACCGTGACTCATACAGGTGAAGTGGTTGACAGAAATAGATCAGTGGAGTGTCAGAAGTAATTGGAGAGCCTGTCATTTCCATACACTTTTTCAAGGTAGCATGTAAAATCACCCCATTTTGCAGAAGGAGAATCCAGGAGCTGTGGCAGAAGCCAAGTTTCCTTCTGATATTACCATGGCTTTGAAAAGAACCATAGCACCAGCATAGCACCAGCCATGCTCCTGAGCAGCCATTGCTGGAACTGGGAGGCTGCCACATCCCACACTCGTTCATACAAGTCACTTTAGTGCCAGCACAAGCAAAACAAAGATGAGAGAAGCCAAGTGCAGTTCAGCACAACTACATGCAAGTCCAAGACTTGCTGGTCTGAAACTTCCATCAGCAGATAGCAGCTGGGTTTTTTGTTTTTTTATCTCTTTTGGAAGGTGCTGTGCGGTTGGCTGAAGATAGTAGTGTGGAGCTGTACTTCAGTGGACTCTGGGGTACCATCTGTGCTGACCACTGGACTGACTGGGATGCCAGTGTTGTCTGCAGGCAACTAGGTCTCAGGTGGGAACCTCAGTCTGGTTGCAAGAGTTACATGCTCGTGTGGCTTTTGAAAGAAAAGCATCTGTGGTTACAGTCCTTGGGGCACAGTGTGTTGGCTGGGGGAAACGAGTTTGTTTTGTGGTCCAGTTTTCCACTTTACAGGGTCCTTTCCTACTGTTTTCTTTCTGTGGCTATGCCCAACCCAATCAGCATTTGCAAGAATTTTTTAAAACAATATTTTCTCCTTCATACTCCAGACTGTGATGAGTAAGCTGTGAGATTGCATCCCCTTTTTACTATCACCAGCTGCACTTACAGTAGTGATCTAATAGAAATTTTAAGAGTATGAACTCTCTTTGGGTATCTGCGATTTGGACGTTCAAACTTCCAAAAAGCAAGGAGATAAGGTCCACATAGAAGGAAGAAGGTGAATCAGATATTTGGATGTTTGAGTCTATTGATGGGTTTGTTCATTGCTCTCAAATGAGGGTGCCATTTCTGTCTACACGAGCTCCTCTGCAGTAAGTAGGCACACAAAAGGGTTAGGTGGTGGGAAGTGCTTTGTTTTTGCTTGTGCTTTCCCATTAGACTGTAAGTGACCACTCCTTTATGCCCTTCCAATCAACTGGGCACACTGGGAAGTGAGATGTCACAACTAGACTGGAGAGTCACAACACTGAGGGAAGTTGTAAGTCAAGCTGTGCTACAGCATTTCATTGCTCTGTTGCATTCTCTGTACCAGTGAGATCGGCACAGTTGGGAAGAAAAGTCATCCTGGACCATGGCCTGTTCCCCTGCACCTACAGTCAGCAAACTGCCATGGGGATGAGAAAGCTCTGCTGCAGTGTGGCTATCAGGAAGCTGTGTCAGGAGCTTGTAAACAGGGGAGTGCCACAGTAACTTGTGTTCCTCCAGAAGGTAAATATCCAGGGGAGGTTTGCTCCCTGGTTCTTCCATCAGTGTTGCTGATAAGATGTAAAATCTAAGGTCATGAAGCTATGGAGAGAAAATAATTGGAAAATGTTCTTCTTTTACTTGCTATGTAGGTGGTTTTCTTCCTTCCACTGGAAAATTATCTATCCCTTCCCAATCCCAAATACTCAGAATGGGTATATGTCTACAGTCACTGAGAGATGACTGTTGTGTATGACCACATCCCCTTTTTATCAAGCCAGGTTTTTGTCTGCAGGCAGCAAACTCCCAGTCACCACAGCAGCCTGTTAGAGCCATCCCTGGAGCAGCAGTACCCCATACTGTGGGCTGCAGTCACGGGAGCTTATGGGGGTCTAGGGAGGCGGGTGTGGTAAGAGAGCATCCCAAGAGCTCCTGTGGCCAGTGAGTGGTTCTACACCCTGAACTGCTGGATGTGTGTTGTCTCTGTCTTGTTCTGTTGTGCTCTCTTTCCCTTTCTTGAAGCACAGGTGTAGGTGCCCCACTGCGTATTGTTGGGGGGAAGGAGAGCTTTGAAGGGCGAGTGGAGGTTTACCACGATGGCAAGTGGGGCACCATCTGTGACGACCAGTGGGATGACCGGGATGCTGAAGTAGTCTGTAGACAGCTGGGACTCAGGTAATTTCCCTGCTGCATGTCATGGAGTAGCAATAGAATTAAGCAGAATGAAGAACATAAGAGCGTGTCCGTTCATTGTATGACCAGCCCTTTCTATTGGAGATACAGAGAAACTCTGGGAGAGATAATTCTGGACTGGTCATCCTATAAAGGGATTTTGTACTTTATTCCAGTCAGTTTTATGGATTTATACTGTGAAAAAAAAAGTTGGTGCATCCCTGTCTAAGGATTGTTTGTGTTGCCCCCTGTTCATTATTTTGGCAGACATATCCTAATGCAAATCTTGTTGGCCTCAGTGATAACTTGTCATGGTGATTTCCATGCGTGGACTGCAGTTGCTTACTTGGTTAAGTTTAAACACCTTCAGTTTCACTGACTGCCCTTATCCTCTTTGGACGGGAAAGCAGGAGAGAGCACCTCATTCTTCTGTGTGCCATTCCGTGCTTGGGAGCTGTTCTATCCTGAGCATTCTTGAAAATCGCATCAGTACAGGATTATTTAAAATAGATGATTCAAGTTCGAGACCCCTCAAACTTTGGGAGTTTCACCTGTTACTGAGATTGTAAATGAGACTAATATTACATCATTTTCCTCAGAACTCTCCATGTCTCCGAACCGTTCATGTTGCAGGCACATTTTTGTTATTTGTTGGAAGGGCTTGTTACAAACTTTCCAATAACATATTTCTGTTAACAGATGGCAACTCCACTGTGTCAGGAACACGGGTGATCTATGGGAGGACAGTGACCTAGCACAGGAGAGTCCCTGTGCAAGGCAGAATCTGAGGGCACAAGACTGTGACCTTCCTTACTGAGCATACGTGTTTGTAATGTTTGCAGTGGGACCCCAAAAGCCTTGTCATGGGCTCACTATGGGCAGGGATCTGGCCCAATCCTGCTGGATGAAGTGCAGTGCTCAGGCAATGAACTCTCACTTGACCAGTGCAAGAAGAGTGATTGGGGACAGCAAAACTGTGACCACATTGAAGACGCTGGGGTCTCCTGTGACCCTTTCACAGGTACAGATCTACAGCTCTGCCAGTCAGATGTGGTCGGTTGTACCCCCGTATTGCGGGGCTGGCTCAGCAGGTAACCCTCTAATTCAGGGTTCTGCAGAGCTTCTATGTTTGGCTCCCACAAGGGCTGCCAGATGTGGAGACAGAGAGCAGCAGCAAATGGGAATGGACCAGAGGCAGACTTTGGGGTGTTCCCATTATTTTGTTCAATTGGTATGGAAAAGCTGAGGTGAATCCTTCCCTGACAGATGGGCATGTTCATGAACAATGAACATTTGTTTTTTTGAGTACCCAAAGATACCTGTGTCTTTGGTTTCTTTTGGTCATGAGCTGCACAGAGACTTAGCAATGGTGCACAGGCTGTTTCTTTTCCCCCCTGCAGAGTGCTGACCTTTCCTTCTCTCCCCCTTGCAGAGGGCACTGTCAGGCTGGCTGGTGGCCGCAGCCCCAGCGAAGGCAGGGTAGAAGTTTATTACAATGGAGACTGGGGCACAGTTTGTGATGATGGCTGGACAGACCTTGGTGCCCAGGTGGTCTGCAGGCAGCTGGGCTTCAGGTAGGACTGAGAGCCTGTGTAGTGTCTGTGCTTCCTAATTTCAAGGTTTAGATTCCATCACCCTTCACTGGGATAGGCTGGACCTTAATCCTTCAATGCTGTCTTTACTAGAAGGTTTATTACCATTATACAGCTTTCTGCATTTCAATTCCAGGTAGCTGGTTCCTATAAAAAGAAGTAGAATTATTTAAATATTGATATTTTTGATGCCTTCTCTGCTAGCCCCTCCCCAAATTGATGTACCTGCTGTCATGTTTGCAAAACAGCCTCTGCTGGCCCTCTGTACTATTACTGTGCCTTTGATCAGACATTAAAAAATGGACTGGTCTGAGCAGGCCTCCCTGAAAACCGAAGCTGGTGAGAGGTGAAGGTGCTTGGTTGCCATTTTGTGTGTTGCTGAGGGGTTCAGGTCAGGAGGCTCCAGTATCATAGTTAAGCTCTGCAGGGGAGTTTCTGTTTGGGTCTGAGCTTGGGTCCCTCTGTGGCATTTAGAGTTTTAATGAATTTTGTGTTGTGTTCTGTTTCCTTCCTCTAGTGGTCCTGCTGCCCTGGCCTCTGAAGGGGACTATGCTGCTGGCCAAGGCTTTATCTTACTGGATGATGTGGCATGTGTGGGGACAGAGCTGTCCCTCCTGGACTGTCCCCACAGCAACTGGGGACAGCATGACTGCTCACATGCTGAAGATCTGGGAGTCCGCTGTTCCCCAGAAAGCAACACAGTCATGGATGGCAGCCTGGGTAACTCACCTTGCCCTTGCCCTGGATGGTGGGAAAGTGTCTGTTCCCTTGGAGGCTCTGGCAGATGTGGGAGTTTTCCCTGCGCTGTTTCAACGAGGGGTCTGCTTTCTGAGGAGGAATGAGCCCTGGCTGTCTTGGGGCAGGGCCATAGAGCTGTGGCTCCACCAGACCTACAGCCAGACCAGCAGATAAATGGAAACTGGAGAGAGTTGTGTTGGCAGCCTATGAAACAATCCTGAGGGGCTGAGGGACAGTGGATGCCTTTGTATGCAGGGACCCCTTTTTCAAGGGACTCCTTTAACTAGACCCTTTAGGAAACTGGTGTAGTTACAGTAGTGTCACACCTTGTCAAGACAAGAGGACTTTGGATGCAAGAGGCTGTGTTGTGAAAATTTGCACGTCCTTGTGTGGATGGCACACTTTTAATTCAAATTATGAGGGTATTTCAAGTTAGCATAATGTCCTCATTTATGTAATGCCCAATACTCTCCCTTTTCTTTACTATGGGAGACTTTCCAGTTTGTCAGACATTTGTTATTGAAATAGTTGACATCCAACATTTTTGTTTTTCCTGGATGTAGAACTCTTCTCTTGCTTAGAGTACTGTAATAGTTTTATAATTTAATAGATTTCTTTCCCAGGCATGTTTAAGCTTGTCTACTCTTGGCTCAGGAGTTAATAACTTTCCTTCTGTTCTTGTTCTCCTCTTTACTCAGCTTTCAGAATATGATCCACTGATGATTTCCAGTATGTATTAAATAAATTATTATGTATGTAGTCTTCTGATTCAGCACAGAGGTAAAATGTCTTCATATAGACATACTTCTTTATTCTTTTTCTTTTTTTTCTAATCTTTTTGTTTTAAGCTTACTGATGTCTGGGATACATCTTTTTCTGTAGAACCCAAGTTTTGGACACCTGACACTTCTGGTGGTTTTGCTTGCAGCAACCCATGTGTTTTTTCCTTCAGGGCCTCCCATACGGCTGGTGGATGGAGAAAGCACCAAGGAGGGACGAGTTGAGGTGTTACTGAATGGGCAGTGGGGCAGTGTCTGTGATGATGACTGGACGGACAGAGATGCCACAGTGGTTTGCAGGCAACTGGGGTTCAGGTAAGAGCTGTGGTACATGCGTCCTACAGATAGAAACAGCTCTCAGGGGGAGCACTTCTTTCTGGACTTGTTTCTCAGGGCTTCGTTTCTTAGTTTTGGCATATGCATGAGGGAGTAGGGTCCTGTTCTCACTGTACTACTGTCTGTGTGTGCAGTGACACATAAGTATTACTCCTCTTAAAGTGTGCTGGTGCCTCAGGTTCACTTGCCTCCTGCTTACTGCAGATTAGCCACCCTCTCTCTAATTGCAGTGGTACCGCAAAAGCCAGAGCAATGGCTTATTTTGGTGAAGGCCATGGGCCCATCCATCTGGACAACATAGAATGCAGTGGCACGGAGCACACCCTGGGGCAGTGTGCCAGGTCTGACACCACGATTCACAGCTGCTGGCACAGTGAGGATGCTGGTGTGATCTGTGACTACGTGGAAGAGAAGGTCCAAGATATCAGAAGAACAGGTGACATGCCCATTTCTTCTATGCAAGAACCTGGTGCTCCAGTTGTAGGATCTCTGCATGTTTTTATGATTTTTCCCTGTCATTCTTGTCTCTGGCTGAAACTGCACCTACAAAATAAGCATATCCTGTCCTGCATCTCCTACTTTTTCCTTGTTTTCATTGTCTCTTCTTAGGAGCACAGGGTGCTCCAGACTAGTCTGAGAAGCTCCACCCATGTCAGGCCTTTGAGCCTGCAGAACTTCCCCACAGCAAAGTACCCTTCCTTAGAACCCTGCAACCATGAGCAAGCTTTGATATTTAGAGGACTGACAATATATGTGTAGGTCTAGGTCCCATTCTTGGCATAAGACCATAGAGACTGCAGGTAAGCACCTCCACTGAAACTGCAGAAATCTATGAGACCAAATCTTCAATGAATTCCACATGCACAACACAGTGCAGTCGATTACCTTGAGGATTAATGCCCTCGGGGAAGGTGAATGGTATTTGGCTCTGTGACAGCAATGCTGATACTTAAGCTGAAGGTCCCTACACAACTGCTCTAACTTCGCTGTGCAGGTCCAGAGTCTGGTGTGTGTGGGATGCGCCTTCTCCACCGTCGCAAGAAAAGGATCATAGGTGGAAACAAGTCTCCCAGGTACTACCCTGTAATTGTTGAGAGAGCCAGACTGATTCTGGCTTTCTATCAGGCTCTGGAAATTGCCTGGCAAATGTTGAGTACATTGATGCATTTTCACTGGTGATTTTTGAACTTGATTTGAACCAGTGGGCTTATCTAGGGAAGAATGCACACCAGCTGAGCCCAGATGGGGCAGAGTGGATGGGAAGAAAGGAAAACAGCTCCCATGTGTGTGACATCTGTTATTTCTCTGTTTCTCCTTCAGAGGCGGTTGGCCATGGCAGGCCTCACTTCGGCTGAAGGGTTTTCGTCGAGATACTCGCCTGCTGTGTGGGGCAACAGTGATCAGCAGCTGCTGGGTGGTGACTGCAGCCCACTGCTTCAAAAGGTGTGTTTGGGAGTGGGGAGCCCCGAGGGATACTCAGTGATGAACAAGATAACCTCATATGAGTTTATTCTCCCAGCCCAGTGGAACCACATGAGCAGAGTTTATAAACCAAGACCTTCAGGTTATGATCTGTGTGATCTTGGAGTACTTGTGGGGATGACTCAACATTGACTTGCTTTATCCTTCACTGCTTACACCCGGCCTTTTAGCTCTGAGGCTTTACAGCTTAAAGGGAACCAGCATTTTGCCATTCTTAAGTGCTTTATAGAACTGTGAACAGATCAGTTCACAACCCTGTTGTAACTATTATAGCCATCTTAATAGGAAAAAAGTCCTGTGCATGGTAGATGGTGACTGGGGACACCCATTGACTGCAACAGCTGGCATGATCAGATCTGCTAAAGAGGTCCCACGGTCCTGCAGCTGGCACTGATTTATCAGTGTGGTGTGAGGAGGTGGTTCAGTCTCATAGCAACTGAGACTTGTTTCCCTCTTAGTAGGAGATCCTGAGTCTCTTTTTCTCCAGGTTCGGTGTTGATGTGCGGCGCTACCTGCTGCGGGTGGGCGATTACCACACAGGTGTGAAGGATGAGTTTGAGAGGGAGCTGCCTGTGGAGCGGATTGTCCTGCACAGGAACTACTGGGCTGGCAGCAATGACAATGACATAGCCCTGGTCCGGGTGAGGGGCAGAGAAGGGCACTGTCTGTCCTTCAATCGCCATGTTCTGCCCGTCTGCCTGCCCGACAGGAAAGAGAGGTCTGACATCAACAGGCAAGCCTGTATCATCTCCGGCTGGGGAGACACAGGTGAGTGGCGGTGCTTTGAGGGGCAAGAAAGGTGGAGGAGTCTGGGTTCAGAAGCCTATATGGGCCATTAATTTATATCAGCTCAAGGCTGTGTTCTCACTGCTTCCATTGTCTGTGCCAGTGTGTGGTGTTTAGGAGTGGGGAGCTGAGGTGGTTTTTGTGCCATTGTGTTGTCTTCTGATTTTGAGGCTTCTCAAGTCTGCTCATGGTGGAAGCTTTGGTTTCCATAACATCACTCTGAAGCAGAGACCAATGCTGCTGTCTGGCCACAGTCCTCTCTTTCTTCCCATTTCTGCACATGTTTTTGTCTACAGCAGACCCCTTAGGGAGCCTGTGCAGAGCTGCTATATCAAGCCTGTGGGAAGCCCTCATGTTTCCCTGATCTCCTGCCTTCTTCATGATACTGTAGTAGTGAAGTGGGGCTTGGAAGTGAGGTGGAAGGAATCTCTCTCAAACTCAACCTCCCTCAATATTGCTGCAGGGACAGATGAGCTCTGAGGCTGGTTTCTGCACTGGATTCAAAACAGCTTGTACCTGTCCACTGAGCACGTTGCTATGAAGCTTCCTAGGTTAAAGAGAGCTGGGATGCCTTTCTGGGGTGTCTGCTATGACTGGAGCAAAGCCATATGTTTATCAAGACTTGCTGTCAAAAGCCCCAGGAGCTTGTCTGTTGACTTTGGTCTTGCCCATCCTTACCAGCTTTTTCTCCAGCTATTACCCCAACTGTTTAACTGCAAGTACACATTTGCCTTTGGAGTCAGTTGTGCCAGTTGCACATGTCACTTCAGGATGTCTGGCAAGGATCAAGGAGCAACTTAGCCATGTAACTAACTTAAGCTGGGCTAGGGCTTAGTGGCTAGAATCCCTCCCACGCACAACACCCAGCTTTCCAAGAGAGGAGCAGTTACCTACTACCTTGTGAACTTACATAAACCTTGAGCACAGAAAGGTCATACTCTAATATAGCACATGAGCCTTATGTTCTGAGCAACCTTGGGGTAATAAAGAGATTTGATCAAATAGAGACAAATCTGGCCAAAGATGAAGTGAGCTCCTTTTGAATAATATTTGAATGCCTCTGAAACATCTTCTAAAACTTCTCTGAGGATTGAGCACTTCACAGTTATTACTGCATTTATTCACTTGAGAAAACACTGTCCTTGTTTTACTGAGGAGGAAGTGGAGGTTCTGAGAGGTGAAATAAATTGAATAAGGTTCAAGTTGCTTGTTGGCAGAACCAGGAGTAAGACTCATCCTTTGATCTAACCTTTTTCTCCAAACCTCTTCCCCATATCTTTGATCTTACAGCTCTTTTTTTGTGGTCTGGCTTGGCATCACTGTTTTCTGCAGTTCTGGTGGTTCAGAGATGCTGAGCTCAGCGTATTTCTGTGCTGCAGACTTGACATGAAGTGTACAAGTTTTTGTAGGGAGCACTGTTGCTCCAGGTCGCTGCTGTAGTCTGCACATGAATCAGTCTGGCTGGTCTGTTCTGTTCCAGGGAAGTCCTATTCAAGAACGCTGCTGCAGGGGGTGGTGCCTCTTCTCCCACGGGAAGACTGTGAGGTCCGCTACGGGCAGAAGTTCACTAACCGCATGATTTGTGCCGGGAACCTCTCTGAAGATAAACGAGTGGACAGCTGTCAAGGGGACAGTGGAGGGCCACTCATGTGTCAGAGGTCAAATGGGCGCTGGATCATTTTGGGCATCACTTCCTGGGGGTATGGCTGTGGTCGGAAGGATTCACCCGGTGTGTACACAAAGGTCAGCAAATTTGTACCCTGGATCAAGAGAGTGACCAAGCTAAAATGAAAATGACTGGGCTCTAGGAACTTCAGCCTATGGTCCTTTTGCCCTGCAGCAGCAGAAGGCTGTGGCTTCTGGTTGTGACTGATGGAGATTTATTTTGTCATTGGACACTGGCAAAGGACTCTGATGTAGAGCTGGAAGAAAACCAGTTATGACTGATGCTTTAAAGTCTTTGATTTCACTTTAGTCTGTAATCTGTAAGCAGAGAAAGCAGGTGCACACTGGTAACAATGATAAGTATACGTTGCCCTAAGTATCTGAGTCCTGTAATGCAGTGACACTTGTTCCTTTGCCCTGGCACACAGAAATAGTAGAAGCAGAGAGATACCTGCCACTGAAAATCTATTCCTGTTTGTATGTTTGGACAGTTGAAAAATGCTGCAAGGAGAGGTGAGATGCTTGGAAGATGGCACCGGGTGCTGGCACAGTGGAAATCTTCAGATATTTTTTCATAACAGCTCTCTTCAATTCCAGGAATCAGAAGATTTGAGCTGAGCTGGGGTTTTTTTCTTCCCTGTTATGTCTCTAGGGGGAACCTTTTCTCTTCTGGATAGTATGTCTGCTTCCATATGATCCCTTTCAAGTGTCTGCCCCTGCTAAGAGATGCTTGTCCTTTCTGCTGTAATCCTCTGTCACACATTTCTAGCTGCCAGATGCTATGTTTTTTTTGCTGCTTTCTCACTATAGTGGTTCTTTGTGTGTGTTTGTTTTCTTGCTTCCTTAAAGTAGCAAGTTGTTGGTGTGGGAGTAAATCTTCATTTTTAAGAGACAGTAGGTTTCTTGCCCTTATGATTACTGTGAAGAACTTAAAAATACGACCTCAGGTGGCTGAATAGACATGTTATTTTTCTTTAAATCCAAATGTAATGTTAATCTCAAACATTCAGGTGTTGAATCATGATTTAACAGCACTGTGGGGACTTCCTCTTGGTAGCTTAATCACCACAGTTAGTAGCTGCCCTTTACTTGTGCTGTTAGTCTTTAATATCTCTGTGTTCACAGTTCTCCCATGAAACGTGGAAATACTCCTGGGGTATAGATACACCTCAAGCAAATTACTCACTCCTTGTGAAAAACAGTAAGTGTGCTGCAAAGCAGCTTCCTGCTTTCCTGAAGTGTGTCCTATTCTTGAAACCTCTGGGCTATTCATTCTTTTTTTCTCTTCTTTGCACTATTTCTCTTTTCATTCCTCTCATTGGGAGTAAACTGGCTTAACTCAAGGGTATGCAAGCACTGTCAACAAGCTGTAGTTCTCAGCCTGAACAGAAATAATGCCGAGAAAAAGCAGGGATTATTGAATACTTCAATTTCTTCCTTCCATCTCATCCAAACAAATGAACAGAGTTCCCTCTTATGCCTTAAGCAGTTTTTAAAGTTAATTTATTATTCTTGAGTAGGTAAAAAAATATAAAACTAGACAGAAGGGCTAAGTGCATTAACAGCTGTGCAGTGCACAGTGTCTTCTCACTGTGTATAGATAAGCCAGAGAGAAGACAGGTCTGCTCAGGAGCAGAAAGCTTTGATGTGTAACAAAGGACCCGAACGTGGAGTAATAATACAAGATGGGACACGTGGAACTTGTGCCAGATGTGCATGTTTTGGGTTTGCTCATGCACTGCAGGGTAGGCAATCACTGGGTCTGGCACTGACCTGCTGCCTGGAAGGTCTGCACTCAAGGCACTGAGGTGTTCAGTATCTAGGCATTACAAAGGCAAGAACAGAGGGCAGAGCACAGCCTGTGGATTAGCCTTGTCATGTTACAGGGCATGTGGTGACAGAGTTCTAGAAATCACCTTGGATTCAATAAGTAGTGATTGCCTAAAGCTTTAATTTGTCTTCTGTAAAATAGCTGACCTGGCTGATTTTTGTGTGAGAATGCTAAACTAAACAGTTCCATTTACCCTCTCCAGGGTTATGGTTCTATAACCCCTCTCCAGAGGTTATAGAAAAGTTGGGTTACCAGTATTGGAATGGACTGTTTAAAGATCCTGCTTGGAAACTTTATTTTAACAAAGAATTGTAGAAATCTTTAAAACATGCAATGTCAGAACCCCTGCAACCTGGCCTTGGAGACAAACCTGATCTGTTTGTGCCTCTTCTCGAGGTCCAGAGTGTCTTCAGTGCAGCTTGTGCTGGTAACCCTGTCTGAAGTGCCAGGCTTGATCCCTTGGCAGTGCTGTGCCTGGCTCCACGCTGGCTGTGTTGTCCTATGGCTGCTGGCAGAGAGCCTCTAAGATGCAAGCTGCAGACTGCTCTTTATCTCCCAGGAATTAAAATGGCAGGAGGACTGAAGGCAATTATGTCACAGCCCTCTGATCTTGTAGGGGATTAAATGCCAAGTTCCACACTGGCAGCAACAGTACCTGTCTGGGAAATGTAGAGGGATTTGGCTTTTACCTTCAGCCTCCCCTGAGCCAGCATGCTACAGCAGCTCAAATGGAGTTTCTGTGCCTTGGGTGCTGTCACATTTCTAGTTTAACTTGGTTTGATCTTTTAGTTTATACCCATAACCCCAACAGGCATAGAAACACCAAAAGGACTGAAACTGTGAGGTTATTTCCTTAAGACTACTTAGCAGATGGCCATTCAGGAGTTGCAATAAATTACCATGTAACACAAGTGAGACACAGGCCTTGCATTGTCTTCTGAAATTCCCATGTTCTAGTTCAAAATATTTCTTTCTCCCAGATCTTATCACTGTGAAAGCTTTGAGAATCCTTGTAATTAACATACCCTGAGTCCTGCATGAGCCAAGAGGAGAGAAGGAAGTATCCAATCTCCTTCCACTGCTTTTACACCCTACTGGTGCTGTAGATGAGCCTGCCAATACTCTCTTCCATTGTCCTGTTTCAGAGCACCACTAGTGCTCTTTGCTGTTTAACCTAGGACTGTGGTCTAAACTAAACTCCTGTGCCATGCCACTGAGGCTTACTGGATCTGCCTGGCTGGATGAGCAGCACTCAGCCACCATAGGACTGTATTTTGTAATATTAGCAAGCAGCAGATGTTCCAAAAGGTAGTACGTGTGAGTTTGTACTGAACAAGTTTTAACAACCTTTCCTTTTGGAGAATTTTGTTCTTGACCCATTTAAATTAATTGCTTGCATTACTATTATTATTATTATTATTAAAAATTGAAGTACAAGTACTTGGTCCCGTAGATGTTGTTAAAACACTATGCACTATCCTTTTGTAAGTCCTTTTTTTTCTAAGTATAAGAGTTTATATCCCTAATTTTTAAAAAACTGTTTAATGTAACCAGCCTTCATCTTCCATATAAATGTTTAAATTTTTAATTTTGTGTTTAATCAAACTAAGCTCTCTGTCTCAATATTTTCTGGCAATGAAAACCAATGCAATTTTATTCTCCATAGCACATAATTTCTTTTTATGGTTCCTGAATTTATTGCCTTTTGTTTTTATCGAATCCCATTTGTCCTTGTGTTCTCAGCCATGAGACAAAGTAAGGAGCCTGGTTTTATATTCTCTGTTGTTCATTACTCTAGAGATAGTTCTTTTTCTCAGACTGTGGCTTCTCTGTCTCTCTTCAACCCAAACTGTCTAGGTGTCTCATAACATGCTGAACTATCTTTCCATGTCTTCTCTTTCTGCTGGATCTTTAAACTTTGGTAACCAGAACTGAATGCAGTTTGCCAGGGGAGGCTGTGTCACCTGCTGATTATTTGAGTACGATTTTCTATAGTAGGCAATGCTGTAAGTGATTTTAGTGCTGTATGTCTGTATGCTGGAGCCAGCCTTAAACTTGCTAGTGTGATCTTTGTGGCAGCCTTGTTATAAAGGGATGAAAACCCACTGAGGTTAGTTCTCCCCGTGTCTCAGGCAGGTGCAGCAGTTGCACTGAGCCCACAGCAATTGCTGCAGGTATATCTGGGGACCTCTGGGCAGGGAGCACCTGTAGAGCTTTGCCTTGGCTGACAGACTGGTAGGGCTGGTTCAGTCCACCTTTGCAGCATCACTCTGTTGGATAAGGCTAATGCAGATACACTGTTTCGAGGAGCTGAGAGCTCAGTCAGTGTTGCTGGTGGCTGCACTGTGCCATGTGGATGCTGTGAGACAGTTTCCCATAGCAGTGTGGCACATGCTGGTTATGTGAGAAAGGGAACATCACTATGACTGGCTAGGAGCATTGGCAGAAGGAGAATGTGGTTGTGGTAAGGGCCTAAGGAGCAGCTGTTAGTGTTCCAGGTATCCCTCTTCGAGGGAAAACCCCAGTGCTACAAAGGCTAATACAGTGCTGGTGTCTTCCTGACCTGCAATGCCTGCACTGGTGACCATCCATGCTTTGGCCATCGGAAGCTGGATTAAAGATTTATCCCTTTGCTGTGGCTGAACACTGTTTTGATGATTTCTATTAATTATGTTCTATGCTGTAATTAATCAGGCAGCTGTTTATTAACCTGAACAGGACATTGATTACCCTTGTAATCCTTGTACACTTGTAGCAGAGAATAACAGATGAGTTTTTCAAAGGCATTAGTGGAGGCATTGGTGAGGAACCAGGAATGTGGATATTTGCTGTCTCGGGGTTAAGAGAGGTAGGTCTGCCTTTTGTCTGTCTTCCTTTTCTTCTGAAGCCAATATCCTGAAGTTTCTTCACCCCAAAAGAGCTGAAGTGATCCATCAACCACTTGAAGACAGGTTTTTATGTGTATATTCAGCAATCAGACGAAAGCTTTTGAGAGACGAGCTGCACTTTGGTATTTAACACTATCCTGATAGACTTGCTGGGAGTTCCTTGCAGATGGAGGGACCAGAATCACCTCTGGTGGTAACCAACTGCTCCTTGTAGAATCAGGCACTGTGACCTGGACCAGTGCATGTGTCCTGGGCTCTATTTTTACTTGTTTGGGAAAATATTTAATTTTCCGCATCAAGAAGAAAAACTCATTTGTGTAATAGCCCATTCAGTCCTATTAAAATCCCTTTCTACTGAACAGGGGCTGAGTACCTCTGAAATCAGTCAAGTGCCAAAACTGTCATGTCCCTTGGATCAACACCAATGGCTCACAAGGTATGCTAATAAATGGATTATACTGTGACTGTGTGGGGCTCTGTCTTATTTTTAATAAAGGAATCTGTTCCAAGGGCAGGTTTTAGGATTTTTTTCAGCACTGAATTAAACTAATTAAATTTCTCTATTAATGTTATTTTTAGAGAAGCTTCAACATGCTAAAGCATGTTGCAAAGTCAGCATCATGTTAGCTGCCACTACAGTGAAATGCAACAGTTCTTCAAAGGCCACATTTGAACAGGTAAGGAGCAGGTCAACATTGCACTTAACAGACTTTATTTAATATATCAGCTAATTTGTTGTTGTAGGTGATCTTTCCATACAAACTTGTTCAGTATGGCTTAGTCTCCCTTCAGTCTAGGATTCATGTGTCACCACTCTAAGAGCTAAAGCCAGCCTCTGGAAAAGTGGAAATGGGAGAAGAGAAATGCAGTCTGAATGAACCATCGATTCAAGAACACTGTTGTACTCTACCTTGCCGCCCCACTGCTGAAACTTGAATTTCTGTACAAAAAGGCTTTTTTGAAACATAGTCCAGCTCCTTGCAAGGTGTGTCCTGACTTTCCCAAGTTATTAGGGTTAGACTGGGGCTTGGTGTAGCTGATGCCTGCAGACTCCAAGTATTATAGTGTGTAATTTTTTGCATGTACTGACTCCAGTCTGCTGTTGGGAACCGACATGCACTCACTGGAGATAGAACTGCTTGTGGTTAACACTTTCTTTGCTTCATGTCTGCCTTTGGGGTTTTCTAACCCACCTACATTTCCTCTCTTGCTTGTGCAAAACTGGGAAGCAGAGTGCAGGCATTTTAGTTGGCCTTCCATGTGTCAGTGGGCACTGGTTCATCACATCAGTTCTGCAGCGCTCTTCTGTAGTCACTGCCAGGGAAAGAAATAACCTTGAAGCTGAGCTGTGGTTAAGGTTACAAGTCTGTCAAATGTTGTTTTGTATTAAAGCATTTGGCTGCTGCCTTCATGTGGTAAAAAGGCTTGGGAGGAGTGTTTGGCATTTTACTAATTTCAGATTAACAGCTGTAGGATAGCTTTGGATTTTAAACTGAAATATGAATCAGGAGAAAACGGGGCTTTACTTCATTCTTTACTAGGATCGCTACCATATTCTTTGGGAGACAGGAAAGAGGGCATTCAGGTATCACTGTTGATAATAAAAAATTCTCACTTGGGTATGATTTCCTCCTTCTAATGGAGGAAAACAGGATACTGCTAAAGCTGCCTTGCATTGCTGGGCTGGGTCCTGTGCCACTCTTAAACTGGCCTGTCTAGAAGGGGTACCTAGCTTTGTTAGGAGGTTTCTGTGAAATTCTGTTCACACTGCAAAAGTGAAAAGAGGAAGTAGAGCCAGCAAAATGGATTTTTAAGTATGTGGATGATCCAGCTGGAGTCATGTATTGTTTAGAAAAAACCTTGGAATTAAGATGTGCTAATGGAGGACAGGCATAGGACAGACAAATTCAAACAAATTGGTGAAACACATTCTGCCAGAAAGAAAAGGTACCCTACTCTTTGCAGATTTTCAAAATTGGCCTGTCACTTGAAAGGAAGAAACAATTGCCTTGGATCAACTTTACCAAAAGGAAGCTGTGAAGCTGTGTGGCTCTGATGTCGGATAAGCAAGAGGCCTTGTTCCTCCTATCCCTGTATATCTGCACTGGCCT